ACTTCGCATTTCAGTACCATTTAGAGCTCTCTACTTCGCATTTCAGTCCCATTTACACGTTGAAAAATCAATGAATATTTTCTTCTACTTCTATTCTCGTTTAATATCGATTAACACACTTTCACGAAAAGTACACCTATTTACAAAGTTCAGAAAAAAAAGTGTTCTTGTTGAATTAACTCATCTTCGCAATTTAATTATGAATTTTGACGTTCAATTGTTTTTCTTTTTCATTCGATACATTTTTAGCATAAAGAGTCCTGTCTTTTTTTGCTAAAACTTCATGAAATTTTGCCGTTCCTTTGATTGTGGATAAAGCTGGAATTGTATCTTTCAGTTTTTGAATATCTTCCTTGTCATAGATATAAAGTTTAATATCAGTGTTGTTTTGAACTGCGTTCATTAAGTCTTGAGCATTATCAAAGGCATGATCAGGATCGAAAGATATTACTTCATCAAATTGACGCTTAAGAGCTGCTCCTACAGCATCTGCAACTCCATTACCGTGTCCCGATTCCAGGTATATCCCATTTAATATCAATTTCTTCTTTTTGAGCATATTTAGTCATGAAATAAATTGTTGTCTTGTTTTTGTATTGAGAAACTGGACTATCTGAGATAAAGTTAAGTGTTGTAACATCATGATTTTGAATTAGATCTTGCAATAAATCAGATATCGCTGTCCAGGTTGCTTCGGCCATATGATTTGTATCATCGCTGATGTAACCGAAGCTGAATGGATTATTTTTTAACCAAACGTAACCGGTTAAAAGAGAAACATGATGCTCAAAATAATATGCACCTATTCCAATTAAAGAAGTATAGTGGAGAAAAAAGATTGCTCAAGGAGCATAGAAATTTAGCGCAAGGAAAAGAAGTTAACGCTAAATCATTTCACCGTTAGCATCTTAATATACAGCCTTTTTGTCTAAAGAAGGACTAATACCTTTTTCCTCTCGTGCTTGTTTCAAATTATAATTCTCGCTCCAGTCGGGTTGTACAGTTGCAACACCATCTTCTTCTTTGGCTGCTGTTTTCGCTGATTTTGCAGCTAACTGAAATTCCAAGACCTACATCAATTTCAAGTAGAAACTTCTCCAGAAAGTCATGAATAGACAGAGTTAAGGTCACTTTCGTTGATACTGGAACCGTACAATTAGGTTTCTTTATTTTCTGCCATTCACTGAATAGGACATTCAAATTTTCATTATCTAATAATGATAAATTATTTTTAAATTGTCCAATTTCATCATCATTCTTGATTATTTCCGATAGATCAACTGGAGTTCCATTCATAATTGATTCAACTGTTGAATTTTGTGTCCCATTTGTTTCAATTTTTCATATTTCATTTGAGGATTTAAACATGTCACACATAAGCGCGTTCCTCAGCTTTCGTGTGAAGGTTTCTGGATGTAAGGTGGAATGTGACGTGTAAAAGTTGAATAATCAATATCAATCTTGGTTTCATTTTCAAACCATTGATGAAGTGTATACAAATGATTCAGACGATAATGTACTTGACGCCCATTAATTACTTTTTTTTGTCTGGACACAATTTCGACACATTATCTTGACAAAAAAACTGCTCAATATCCGATTCTAATTTTGATGGTCCGATATTTTTCGGTTGATTTTGAACTGATAAGTTAATTCCTAACTGTTTTCTAAATTGTGAATTTGAACCACGAGATAAATTATCTTTTTGATCTTTTAGACGCATGGCTGCACGAATTGTTGCCGAAGGACTCACATTTTTAAGTAGTAATTTGGCTGGAGATGGACGAGGTGGTGTTTGAGGACACTGAGCTTTTAACTTTTCATTCTCAAGTGTCAATTGACGGACAGTTCGACGTAAACTTTCATTTTCATTTTTCAATTTTGAAGTATTTATACGTCTTCGTTGTTGACCTTCTTTTTTCCGTAACATTGTTTTGTTTGTTATTGCTGATGGAGGTGGTGGTATTACTCGTAATTGTTGTTGTTCTTGTTTCTTCTTCTGACGCCATTTGGCTTGTGATTGATTTTTCTTTCGTTTAAATTCCTTGTCGAATATTTTCGAAAGAACTCGTTTAACTTTAATTCTCTGCCTGTGAAGACGGACACGTTCTGCAGAGTTTGAATGCATGTTGAGAAAATAATAATTCAGAAGATAATAGCAGTTAGTAGCACTTTAGGAAGACATTCAATTCTAAACAAGACGCATTTAAGTAAGAAATTTTTTTTATCGCTTCAGAGCAGAAAGACAGTTTTTTTATTGGAACTTTTCTTATGGTTTTTAGCTGCTTTTGGAAGGACTTTAATGTACCTAGTTTTACTCGCCACTTCAAGCCGAGTCTAGCGGTGTATAATAAATGTATATTTGAGTGATCCTAGCCCGAAAAAATATCGAAAAAATATCGAAAAAATGTTACTCTACATTTTCTAGTATCATGTAAAGTTTTGCTAGAAGGAGGGGTCGTATAACGCTGAAAATTTTATCTGTAATACCAAAACAAATATCATTCATTGAGAAAAAGTTTTAGCGAAGTCGCGTTAGTATTTGTCGAGTTATGACCGAAAGAAGTTTGAAAATGTTACTCTACACGATGAGTGTAAACGGAATTTTTCAAAAAGTAGTTTCCTGTTTCTCAAAAATGAGAAGAAAAAGTTACCAATTTTTTTGTTCGTTTTGTAGCAAAAATCAAGGTCTTTCTTTTTAGATATGGGCTGAGTCTTTTTTTTATCGCATACCGATCGCTACTTACCGTTTTGTGTTACTCTACAAAAAATCGAGAAAATGACTGTAATATAGTTTTGAAGACAAATGAGTAGGAAAAAGAGAGAAAATGTAGAAATGAAATATATGCTTTGATAATTCCTCACGTGCTCTACAAAATGGCTTATTTACATTTTTCTTTCTTTCCTTTCCTTTTCCAAAAATTCTATTTTCCCTGGAACAACTAATTGAAAAAATGTATTTTTTTGCCTTAAGATACGTTTAGCTCAAGGAAGCAATCAGCCACTGAGCTGAAATTTTCTGTGGTAGTAAGACGAAGTGAAAGGAGTAAAATAAAATAAAAAAATTTGAAATTTGGTTCACAACAGCCAGAGTTATAATGAAAATACACTAAAAAAGCAAAGGTATAATAAAGTTGCAATTGACTCATATATACGAATGATTTTCTATGTAAAATCATTCAATTTATTGAATCAAATAATAAAAATTTTTCTTTATGTTTTAGATCAATATCGACGATACAAAACAATACAAAACAATACAGTACAATACAATAAAAAAAAGTGTAGGTATTAGTTTTAATTTCCTTTTTTTTTCTTTTGGATCATATGGAGAGTGGTAAGTCTCCCATTGATCTATTTTATGTTTTGTTTTTTTTATTTTAGCTATTAAATAATGGAAGTAAGTAAAAACTCTTTTAATTAGTATTTTTTTTCTTTTCTTTTAGGTCCAGTTGGATCAATTAAAGTAAGTAGAAATTTTTTATTTAATGTATTCTTTTTTCTAATTTCAGGTAATGGAAAGTCAATGGGGTGGATAACAGTAGGGTAAATTATTCTCTTCTTTTCTAAACATATATGATTAAATAAAATTTTTTCTTTTTAGTCTATCATCGCGTCGCGTCCTCAATAACAACATCGTTGTCCAACATCAAAACAGAGTGAGTAATTATTTATTTATTTTTTTTGAGAAAGAGGATAGGGTGAGAGGGGGGATGAGGTTAGATAGTGATATTGAGAGTGAGGAGGGTTAGGGTGAGACTCAGAAAAGTGAGTGTTAGTAGCGGGTGGATGAGTCATGTCCATTGAGGTTAGATCTCTGTTATCTATCAGGCCTTCAGGACTTAGGCCTAAAACACCGCCCAGGAACTGTCTTGGTGTCCGTGGCACACGACCGGGCCCCCCAGACTCATTGACATATCTCTCGAGTGGGAGAGATATGAATGATATGAGTCTGTCCTGTGCGTGCACGAGCGTTACGCTCGCCACGGCTCCACCAGGATGGTTCCTGGTCGTGCGCGCGCGAATAGAATAAGCCATTCGTTTCATCAATTCAACATGATTTATTCGAGAGAAAGGAAAGAAAAAAAAATCCATCGTAATGAGTCTATTAGATTGAAAATCGTTGAACACGATGATTCCAATAATCGACGACATAGAGATTGCCATGTCGATCGAAGGACAAACCCCAGGGACAGTTGAACTGATTTGCTCCTGCTTCTTTACCATTTCCACCCACAATGACAGTGTTCTGTTTCGCTCCTTTTGGCCAACGCATCACTCGATTATTCAACATGTCTGCCACATAGATGGTACCCAATGTATCGACGAACAGTCCTTGAGGATACGACAATTGTGTCAGAGCATTCCCTTCGCCTTGACCTCCAGCGACGACAATTCCTTCTTTTGCACCTTTATTCCATTTCATTACACGATGATTTCTATTGTCTGACACGTAGACAGTCTGTTGTTGATCGACAAAGATGTAGGTCGGAAAGTTGAGTTGATTGAGACCAGCACCTTCGCCATTGCCACCAGCCACAATAGTTCCATGCTTGTCTCCTATTTGATATCGTCTTACTTCATGTTTGTCGTAGTCAGAGATGTAGAGATATCTCTGATCATCCATGGCCAATCTACTACACTTGATGTTATCAATGAGGATTTCTCCTTGAGTTGTGCCACTACGACGAGACCATTGTACGACTCGTCCAGTCTCTCGATCACAAATAATGAGACTATCCGTCTCTTTGTCAATCAACACATCGGTTGGACCATTCAATTGATCCAATCGATTTCCTTGGCCATTGCCACCAGCTACTACATGTCCATTCGTATCACCCTTCTTCCATTGGATGATACGATGATTGTCGTAGTCAGCGATCTCTATCGTTTGATCATCATCAACGAAGAGACCACAAGGCCAGTAGAGTTGATTGGTGGCACTGCCTTGTCCATGGCCTCCAGCAACAGTCACTCCCTTCTGTGCCCATCGGGCATCAACTGGAATATTAGGAATTACTACAATGAACGAAAAAGAAAAGAAATCGTCGTTGTTGAAGAGATTCCATCCCTCGTGGGAGCAGGCGCTACAAATACGACATTCGTCTTTGAAAATGCTCGTTTCGCAGATAAAAACTCAGAAGTCTTTTCCTAATTTCTTATGAGAAAAAAAGGATTTGGTAACGATTCTTACATCTATGTTACTTCTAGTTCTTGCCAAGATCTTTTTGATCATAAAAATAACACCTTGAGATTGCTGTAAGGAGGGTCTCCAAGAAAGAGTAATACTAATTCCATGTAAGTTTTTGATAGAAAAACATAAGGATCTGAGGATTTTTTTTAGAATTGCAAGAATTCAGAATCTTTTTGTCAGAATGATCATTTATATGAACATCAGAGAAGATTCTATGTGCATCTTGTGAGAAGAATATCGAATCGTTGAACAACAAAATATCAAACCTAATCCGTATGTTTTTTAGGAAACCTTAAGGATACATGATTTTCTGTATGATGAATGTAGATCTGCCGAAAAATCTCCTAAGTATTTGCATAGAGAATGCCGGTGAAATTTTATAAGGCTTTTGATAAGTTATGTGAAGCTGTTCGAAGAACAACCGTGATGTACTCTGAGTAAGATCATGAGAAGGCTTGGATACAGGCGAAACTGAACAAAGTTGAAAGGATTCCACGCGAATCTATGTAATCTGAGAGGGATTCTACTTTTGCAAATGCTGAAAAGATGGATATCAATCCGAACGGAGCTCTCCAGTGACAAGCATTGAGATCTATGGGTTTTATCGGCTTTGAAAAGGGCAATGATAATGGGATAGGCAGAAAGTGTTCTAAAATGCTATTTTTAACTTTTGATGAACACCGTCTTCAAACCATTGTATTAGGGTCCTTGAAGAGAATCTTGGTGACTAAATAAGATACTCTGTCAAAATCTGAAAACCTAAAAATAATGAGTATCTTCTATGAGGATCATGTTATAATCCTTATGTAGTACTTGTTCTGAGAAGTCTTCTGTAAGCTCGCATGCTATGGATATATTCAGGAGGATCTGAAGAGTAAGTATTTTGAAATGGTTGATATCAGAGATGGGCAGTTTCAACTCCGAAGTTGATGCTTTTTCTCATCAGAGTGAAAATGGAGTACGAACAGGACAGAATAGAGGTGCCTATCTTTAAATTTTATGAGAAAGTTTATAAAGCAATAAATTAATATGCTACTAATTTATATCAATCGTAGATTTAATTATGTTCAAAAACTTATGTGTATTTAAGAGTGTTTTGGCAGAAGTTCAGTTTTGTAAAATCCGACTCGAATTGAAGTTAAATCGGAGTTGGAGTAAGATCTTAGAAAATAGGACTGGAGTTATGTGGAGTTGGAGAGAGATAGAGTGTAGTTGTTCATCTTTGCTTAGTACACAAATGTCGATCATAATCAGTACCCAGGACGCCTTCTCTGGAATATTAGGAATTACTACAATGAACGAAACAGAAAAGAGATCGTCATTATCGAAGAGTTTTTTGTCTTTCATACACGAGAAAGTACTATAAATGAGACAGTGTTTCTGTAACGTAGTCTTTAAAAAAAAGCACATCGTAAGGAAATGCTTTCGATGTTGAGAAAGAGAAAACTGCTTAACATGAAATTCTAAGGAGATTTCTATTTTGTAGTTTAGTATTAAAATTTGAAAAGGAAATTTTACGATTCTTTCAGCGATATTCAGCTCATTTTCGTAAGATATAGGATGTTCGAAAGAAGAAAAAAAATGATGAAATGAAATATCAAGATGCTTAAAGTCGTGTGCACTTTAAGTTTTTCATGATAGAGGTTAAAAAACGATCTCTATAAAACATTAATTAGGATTTGTCTCTGAGCTGCTCTTTTAATTGTATAACTTTTTTTTTTCTAAAAGTAAATCTTTTTTTCAATTAAGCATAAACTATCATTCATCAGCCATGTTTGATACTTGTGATACAATATCATCTTAATACATTAAGTAGTTTCATTAGACTAAAAAGACTTTCATTAAAATGATGAAAACTCGTTATAGTTTTATCAAAAAAAAATTTTTTGATTTTTTCCGAATTCTAAATTGTTTTTAGATCTGTTTTCTTAGTA